CACGAAATTTACCCATTTCAACCCATTTTCTGAAACATATTGTAGCTTTGAGAGTACAGAATCGCTTCTGCGTGATCGTCTGAACAAATAACTTCTTGAATAGATAGGTAAAAAACCAATAATTACCGGAGTACTGGTGTAAAAACTAAGTTTCGTCAAGAAATTCGTTCTTCCTGAAATGTGGGAACGCCTAAGGTCATTAATTCCTGGCAGAAGCACCTTTACCCAAAACCATGGCCCATTATGAACTCAAGGCGGCCTAAACTATTGCCTGGCACTTATTCGGCTGATGTGCCAGATTAAAAAAACACGCGTCGGACTGTGAAATCTATTGTGGTCAACAAATTTTCGAAAAAATCGTATTTTTTCAATTTTTCTGCGTTTTTGGTTTTCTGCATTTTTTTCTTTTCTGCAAATTTCTTTTCTGCATTTTTTCTTTCTGCATTTTTTCTTTCTGCAAAATTTTTTTCTGCGTTTTTGGGTTTCTGCATTTTTTTTTCTGCATTCGATACCGGATTCGTGCTTGAACATGTGTCTTTTCAAATGACTTTTGACGGAAGTGTGATACTCGCACAATGAACACTTGTGTCGCTTCCCATTTACCTTGCTTCCAGCTGGTAAAGCAAGCGTTCGAAGCAAACGTCGGTGTTATTCATTTCTGCACCGCACATTGGGTATCCCGATAAAACGCAGAAAATAAAAACGCAGAAAAAAAACACAGAAAAAAAACGCAGAAAGACAAAACGCAGAAAAAAAAACGCAGAAAGACAAAACGCAGAAAAAAAAACACGGAAAGACAAAACGCAGAAAAAAACACAGAAAGACAAAACGCAGAAAAAAACACAGAAAGACAAAACGCAGAAAAAAAACGCAGAAAAAAAACGCAGAAAAAAACACAGAAAGACAAAACGCAGAAAAAAAACACAGAAAAATGAAAAATTTGATTTTTGACTAAAATATTGGGTAAAGCTAAGTACACAGTTCCTCGTGAAATTTAGCGAAAATAAAAGCGTAAAATATGGAAAGATATACAGATATTTGCATGTAATAGGCCAAAATTCACAACAAAATGACCATTTTTGGTACCAAAGAGTGATTTTGAGCCAAAAAGGTAGATAGAACATGATTTTTCTGGGTTAGTATGTTGAGCAAAGTTGTCCAGTTATACGTTGGCTACAAAATTGCTGAATACAGTGGCCATGAAAATAGGATACGCTGCGAGTTATGGTTGAAAAATGGTAAAAAATGGGCACTTTTGCGATTTTGAGGCCCTAGATGCATTTTTTTGGGTAAGTATGTTTTGCATTTTTTTCTTCCTCTCATTCAATACCTACAACTTTGCTCAAGACACAAAAACAATATTCCCTACGGTTCACCGAGATATAGCCTTGTAAAAATGTCGAAAAAGTGCTCAAAATCCAGTTTGAGCCAAAAATACATAATTCCATAAAATGAAAAAGATAGCCAAGTTGGCAAAACGAATGATACAGAATTTCTAGTTTTGGTAAGTACTTTCAGCAGCGATGCTCAAAACTTATGCCCGCATCGATGACCGAAAAAATGTTGCACTGTGTTATGAATAATGGTTTTTGTCCTTTTATTTTCTTTCTCTCTCTTTGTTGTTGTCCTAAATGCTAGTGTAAATGTAATGTATGTGAGGTACCAGAAAAATACACTATTCGAGGTTTTGGCCAAGATAAAATGCCATTATTTTGGAAAAATAACCCAAAAGAACCCTCATTTACCCAATATTTTAGTCAAAAATCAAATTTTTCATTTTTCTGCGTTTTTATTTTCTGCGTTTTATACGAGAATCCGCACATTGAATCATCAGGGAATCCATTGGTTGTGTGTGTTGACCGCGACACCATCACAGTACCATCGTCAGCTTATGGCTCTTGTTTGACGGTCGGCTCCTCTTTTATTCCCATTTTGCACAAAATCGATTCATTCTGAATGGCGATGTCATCCGATTCGTGTTTATCAGGCTCTGTACCATGACCATTAATTGCGACGTAATATCAGTGCTGCCAAACAGAAATCAGATTAGTTTTTTTTCTCATCCAAGAAATGTCACATGAATGAAACACTTGAAAAATTTTACTTTGACAATGACTCACCTTTTCTTCACAATATTTTTTTCGATGAAGTTAAAATGATTTGACCTAAAATTCAAGACTCGTCAAATAATCTATCGAGTAAAAGTACTGTGTTAAGATAACTCTATTGACCGGAGTGAAAATGACGTCGTGAACAAAAGAAAATATTTGTTGACTTGAACTGAACATGTAGTCGAGGCTCAAAGAGACGCACTTTGTGCTGCTGATGAAATAGCACTGAACGAACAGCGCGCACACAGTCACAGAGATCGATGACAGCGACGCAATTCGAAATATTGTTTGGTGTTACTGCTGTCACTTTCGAATTGTTCAGCAAGTGGCTGGATATTTCGAAATTATTTGTATTTGAATTAAAATGCGACTATTATGTACTTAAAAATGTTCCAATTCGAAATATGCTGTGTAAAGAACAAACAATATGAGAAATTAGTTGAATCATTTATTGATTATTATTTTGTGCACAGAAGACATTTTGTAAAAGTATTTCATTCGCATTTTTTTTTCTTGAAAAGTTTTGGGCCCGCTTGAAACTCATCAATTGTCATAATAATAATCACTATCATATTCGTATTTATCACGTGAAGTGGTTGTCATTATTGTTGGTTTTGTCGTTGTTGTCGTTGTCGGTGTCGTTGTTGTTGTCGACGTATTTTCATCAATTTTGAATAATTTACCATCATTTGGTTTCGATTGAATCAGAACTTTGATGTGTTTTTTCTTCTGACCATCACCGTTACTAGCGTGACACACGTAAATGCCTTCATCATCGCGGCTTACATTGTTCTTTTGAAATATTGCATAATTGTTTAAATATTTTGGCAATTTGATAGATGCTCCAAGTTTTCGTCGACTTTTTGGACCATACCATTGTACAGTGGAAGGTAATGAGCCATCGGTAGAGCACAGCAAGTACAATTGATTGCCTTCGTCGATGGTTATTTCTGTCAATTCGGGCAGAATTGAAATGTTCAACGATTGTGGTTGTTGGACGATGATCGAAATGGTTTTGCTTGTATCTCCAACTATGTTTGACGCTCGGCACTCGTAGTCACCTGCTTCAGCGGCTGTTACATTCGAAATGAGAATGTTACCGAATGACATTTCCTCAATCCGATGTGAAAGTGGTGCGCGATCACGTCGAATCCATTCCAAAATTGGGGTTGGAGCTCCAGCAACGGCACGACATTTTAGAACTGCATAATCGCCAACTTGTATCACTTGTGACTCAGACGGATAGATTTCAATCTGTGGAACTTCACGTACTGGGAAAATAACGGTTTAAATGAGCAAAAGAAGGTGATAAATTTGAATGAATTTCATGATCTTTTTTTAGCTCTTGAAATCTCTACTTACATTCTAGATTGATAGCTGCCGCAGCTTCAGCTACTTGACCATTTGATTCAGCGATGCATTGGTAAATACCGCGATTTTCTGGTTGAGCATTAAAAATGTTCAAAACATTATCAATTTGTTGAACATTTGATCCAAGACTCTCTTCATACATTCGTTTCCAGGTAATAATTGGGGTAGAACATCCAGACACTTCACAAGTCAAACTAAAGTCGGCATTTTGAACGATGGAATAATAGTCTTGCGATAGTTTCACATCTAGAGGCTTTGAGAGTATAGTTTCCGTGGAAATATCAAGTAATGGTGACGAGTCTTGTTCTACAGTTGGTTCAGCTTCAATTGGATGTGTTACTACTGGTTCGGCTTCCGTTGGAAAATACAGCCACTGGAAAATTGGCGTCGTATTTGGTTCCGTGCGCTCTTCGGTTGCAACCGATGTTGATTCTTGATCCGTGTGTGCGAAATCGGAATCTGACGTTGAACATGCCGGTCCGAAAAAGCCCGAATCGCACTTGCAACGATTGGGTTCAATACAAACACCATGTTTGCATTCAGTACAAAGCGGTTTGCATGCATTTCCAGCTTCGTTTCTAGCATAACCATCTATATTTGACAGATTCAAAAGTTTAAATATATTAAGGTCATTGCAAACCGGATATGTGGACTCAGCGATGAAAAAAAACGAAAGAAACATGAAACAAAATCATTATTAAGCATCAATTACCGCAACATTCAAAGATAACTCGGTCCATCTTCAGAGCCACTGTCTTGTTAACCGTTCGAAATTTGATTTTGTAGGCTGAACATCGTGGCGGAACGGCAAGACACCAGTTTTCCACTCGCTCTTGATAGGGTTGCTTTTCCGTTACTACAACCTCAACCGGAAACCTATCATACACACAACAATGATACGATTACTTGGACATGTATCCAATTTCATGGCAAAGTCATAACTACATTTCGCAATATTTGTCATCACTTACTCTTCGATGCGTTTACAAACATTCGGTCCACTTAATTGGACTTCTTCATGCTCTGCGATTAACTGAGTGCAAACTTGATGATATGTATTTAATAAAATGCCCAACACAAGTAAATCAAATACGATCTTCATGTTATAGTTATGTCAAAATGTTGCTTGTAGTAAAACCTCTTTCGATTGTTTATTCACTAGTCTTAGGAGCTCAATTATCGGTGAAATTTACTTTCAATTAATTTTTTTTTAATTTTCTCTGATTCAATAGAAATAACGTCAATAAAATTTCGATACACTTTCAAATTGATCACCCGATAGGTATTTTTTCACTATCAAATCAGTTCATTTAAATTCATTGCTATTGAAATGGGTTCAACTTCAAAGACAGACTGACAGAGATTTCAATTGAAACGCATTATTTCAACTGATTGTTTGACAATACGTTAACATTTATTGGGACAGTCTAAGCTACTTTGCATATTACAACGACCCGAGATTTTTTTTTATCACGAATTTCATTCCTTGTCTCATTCGATTCGGGTCAATGGTGCAAGTTTTGCTACAAAATGAGATTAAATTTTCTTGAATTTGTGCTACAACCAAACTGAAACACAGTAGTGTGATACGCCTGGTTGACTAAAATAAAGTGAGCAATGAATTTTACTATCAGTAGACATTATAATCAAAATAATATTTTCTACGTGTGCCTGTTTCATATCTGTTTACTGATATTCCAATTCAATTCAATACAGGGTTCAATAGAGAGTGTATTTTCACTTCTGAGCAGGCGTACGCTGAGTTGAATTTGCTGACACAGATGGCTGAACCGTTATTTAAACACATTCACGATGAAGAATGTTCATTACTAGCCATCTTTGAGACGTTGTTAGGGTGATCTATGCTAGCAATGAAAATTTTGCACCGACCAAATTCAGCTTAACTCCGGCCTCTTCAGTAGGAAAAGTACACTCTCGGTAAAAAAAAAATCTCCTACTAGAGCAAAGACCTAACGCTATATTAACTGATAAGGTTATTGCTGCTGTTGCTATCGTCCTGAACACATCTATATATCAATGATTCACGTATATCCAGGGAACTTTTAATGTGTTTTTTTCTGAATGACAACACTTTTTGTATTCGAATTTATTTTGTTGGAACCATTGTCGCCTCAATTGATGTTTGAGTAAACGTTATATTTGATTCTACAGTCGATGCTTCTGTTGTCAATGCAGTTGGTTGAGTTGATGTCGAATTTCGTCTTGAATCAGTACAATTCTGTATAAAAAAAAGTCAAACCCATATTAAAAAGGACTGAAAAAGGAATTGAATGTTCTTACAAGTTCATCGGAATTATCCAAACAATCGCCTTCTCGATCACATCTCCACCTTTGTGGAATACACTTTCCATTGTTGCACATAAACTGATCAACCTTGCATTCTTTCTTTGGACAGTTCAATTCATCACTTCCATCTCCACAATCTTGAAAATAACATGTGAACGGCTGGGTGAAATAATTTATAATGAAATTATTTATCCGAATTTATTTATTTGCTGTTTGTATGGAGAAATATTTAAATTCGATTTTTTGTCAAATAATTAAATTCGTATGAATTTTTTCTTATTCCACCGAAACTATTATGTGAACAACGAAAAAATTCTTATATTATATCCAAGTCGAAACATCAAGTCAAAAATGGGAACGGAACATTGTTCTTACTTACCATTATCTGAGTCACAACGCCAATGTGGCTATAATGTTGAAAAATAATAATTAATTTGACATAAAAAATTGTGACTTTCGAGATAATAGATGAATTTCAAATGTTGAAATAGAAAAATTAAAATTTTCGAGAATGTATCGACCGGTTATGTTTATAATCTCGGTTTACCTGAATGCAGCGACCATTCGAGCAAGAGAACTGATCAGAACGACAAGTTTCATCTAAATTAAAGAAAAAAAAATTCCATCATTCTTTCAAAGTAATGTTGGAGATCAATGAATAGTATTCATTGCATACTCACTGCATTTGGATTCATCAACCCCATTAGAGCAATCATTCCGACCATCGCAGTGCCATATATTTGGAATGCACTCGCAATCGGATCCACATCTAAACTCATCGGCCCGACATGATAGGTTTTCTATTTAAATCAATAACGAATGGTTTCTTAATAAAAACATGGAAGTGCAATTTTAATATTTGATTTGAAAATACATTTGAGGGTGAATTAATCGAAGTGAAATGTTCTAATCAAATAGTTGAAAGAACATTATTTTAAAATTAAATTTGGAGAAGTGTAATAAAACTGCGAAAATGCGATTGGCAAGTCCTTTAGTATCATAAAATGCCTACCGCACATGTCGGGATTTTCATCCGAGCCATCAGCACAATCTCTTTCAAAATCACAAATCCATCTCTTAAGTACATGCTCACCATTGTTGCATCGGAATTTTTCCGGATTGAATGGAATGACTATGTAATTTGTGAAAATACTCACTTATTATGGTGTAACAGAAAATAGAAAATTTCCTACATATCGTACAGTGTCATTTGTAAGAGGATAAAATGCGACACTCACACGATTCCGTTGTAGAATCAGTATCCGAAGTAGAAAGTGTTTGTCTTACATTTCTTAAGTTAAATTTATAGCACATTTTCTGCTCTTCGTCTTCACTACCCGCACAATTGTTGGTCCCATCACAAACATGGTCTAGGTCAATGCAGGTACCGTTGACGCACGCAAATTGACCATTACATACTTTGAATATGGAAAGACAATATCATTGTTCCACTAATTCGACAGAAAACCAAAACAATTAGAAAAACATCTCTCATTTTAGCTATGCTTTCAATTTGTTTATTGTATGTGAATAGCTTTATCTTCTTTCCGATATACATAGTTAGAGTGCATTAAGCTGATTGCAATTCCGAGTCAACACTTACGACAATTGTCTTCATCTTCACCTCCAGCACAATCTTTTACACCATTACATCGATCATATTTTAGATAAAACGAGCCATCATTGCAGAGATACTCATGATGCGGTATTCCAAAAGTGGTTAGACCAAAAGCCGTGCTACAGCACAGAATTAAAACCGAAGCAGCCTTCATATTTTATTGGAATCAACGAAATGAAGCCAAAGTCGAGTTATTTTGATATTTTTCTCTGGTTCACAGACACTCGAATCCAATTTTATCACCAAATTCTATATTTTTTCTGGTAAAATGCAGTTTATGAACTTATGAACTTAATTTCGACAAATAACCTGTCTAGATATTAATCCAATTGAAATTCTAAATAGTAACTCGTTGATTTTGAACGAGATCAAATTCAAATTTATCAACTATTTTAATTCTTCTCTTGATGTATTCCAAAGCAGCTTCTGATCAATCGAACACTAACTAGCATTGATTGGAAAAGTGGAACGGATTTCATTCGAAACGTAAAGTGCAAGTGTTCTAAGCGATTGTAGATAAGGCGTCAATGATCAAGGATCAAGGATCAAGTTTAATAGTTGGAAATCCCATGAATATACGTAGTGCTTAATAAGAAACACATTCGATTGTTGATAATAAAATGAGAGCAGTTCTTATTATAATGCTATGTTTATAATAAGAACTGCTCTCATTTTATTATCAACAATCGAATATGTGTCTTATTTCAATGCCAAATTCCAAATATAGTGTCATCGATAGAGTTAGCACATTGCTAGGTGTTGATTTGATATTGATAAATCATTAATTTTATATTGAAGTTTAAGGAAGAAGAAACCACATCAGAACTTATTGGCTTTAAAATTTATTAGATTCCAAGACAAAATTTCAAACGAACATGAGCACACTCCTATGTTTCTCGCTCAAATTACGTTTCATTCCGAATTGCAATTGGGTTTTTAAGAATTTGATATGTTTTTCATGCTAAATGCTGTGTCATTTGAGATTCACATTCTCTGTGCATGAGGCAAAAATTTACATTAATCTAGATGCATAGCAATAAGTGCATTGGAATTCTAGCCGCTGATATGGATATGGATATGGTTGGAAGTATTCTTCAATTGTTTTCTCAGAAAATTTTCACATTTCCAACTGAAAAACGTCCAGTGTGAATCAGTGATTCAAAGAATTCGGCTCAATATCTTTCAGTTCATTCATTATAATTATCCGATACCTTTTTATTCCTCCAAAGATCTTGCTGTCGCAGTTTGAAAATGCCACAAATATGCATTTCAACTGACGCAAGTGCATGTTTTGCACCGTCTGGTAGCAAACTATGTGGGGACTAAAATAGCGAGTCAATATTCGTCATTTTACCTGCCGCTAGCTCATATTCTCGGCTGAAAATTCAGCCAACGAATAAATCTAGCTAACAAAAAAAAAAAAAAGTTTAAAGTGTAGCCAAGTGTAGCCAAATGTGGTACTTTTGGGTGAAATAGGGTGTTGGAGACCGATGGACAGAGTCCATCAGTTCGTGAAATGAAGGTGAGGTGCTTGACTTTTGATTGAATTTTGTGTATTCAGGTACGATTGATGAATGAATGCTGATCAGTGGCCGATCGCTTACAGGTATGTGCGATCGGTCACTCGTGAATTTGCTTATTCTACATATTGCTGTCTTATCAATGCTGCCCCCAAGTGGGGCCTAGTCATACTATTTATCGTATCATGCCTCAAAAGTGACGTCTTTTGTTGCCATTTTCACAATGATCATTATTCATCCGACATTGATGATTGATTCGAATCCCATTTTTTGTTGAAATCACATTTAAAGGGAAAATACATTTTGCGATAAAGATTTGTGAAACAAAATGAAATTAGATTGATAGTTTTTATGTTGAATTCCTGATATTCACATAACATGCAAAGCTCACGCCTCGCACGGCTCAGTTTACGCTTTACGTCAAATCTCAAAATTCGTGTCACTTGATAATTATTTATTCATGGGCACGATCAACTAAGAAAATACATCAAAATCTTGTCGTGGGAATGCGCTTAAATCGCTTGCGTGATTGATCGATGTGAAATGAGTAATGCATGATTGTTCAGCGCTCTATTTCATATAAAAGGCCGTCGAATATCAAGCAGCCTGTTATTAGTCTTGAATTTATCCGTTCTGGAACAATAAATTAAAATACAAAAAAAATCGCAATGAAATTCGTTGTAATTGCATTTTTGATTGCTGCTTTTTCCGTTGTAGCCACCAGCGCTGAACCACTTTTCTTTGAATGGATTAGTGGTATTTTTGGTGCTGAACCAAAAGCTTCAAATCCCCCATTTAAAGGCGAATCTCCAGCAGCTAAACCTTCAGTAGGCTATAAAGGTGACGGCGCAGCACCGCCCGCATATAAAGGAACTAAAGCTTAATCTCCAGCAACTATATTTGCATCAAACTATCGACGTATAGTGATGATTGAATTTGTAAAACTAACGAAATGCGATGATTATTGTATTTAGTTGAGTAAAATAAAAATTTATAAAGCAAATGAATTGCAATTGTTTTTATTTCTTATAAGTTTACCTAACATTCATCGGGAAATCCAGATTGCCACAGTGTGTAGAAGGTAGCTTATTTTCTGTCTCAATTTTTTGAAATTCTTCTCCATTGAAATATATATTCAACGAACCGTATACTAAATCATGCCCGGCTCATGTTCAACATCATTATATGGTTTTGAATAAAACTCAAGAACATACATTTTTATCGAAATTCGTTAAGGTACTTTCAGTTCACATTATTATGCAAAAAATTGGACGGAAGCTTTCATGAAACAATTCGCAAAAAGTTCTTCGGCGATCGTATACCCAATCCTGTTCATAACTATACAAAGAACATTTAAACTGAGTCCACTGCGAACAACGTCTCTTTCTTTCTAACCGCAGTTTGTACACGAACAAGTAAGTGTGATAGTTAGTGAGTGTATTTTCATAAATGAAAATACATTAGATTTATTCAATTTAAAATGTTTCTTTATTCACTTTAAAAATTGAACTGAACTTTTACTGGAATACATTTTGGCTTATTATGCTAAACCCATTGTACACAAAGCAATTTGGAGATGGTAATGTTCTTGAAATGGAATATGTAATAATATAACAATACGTGGTTTAATCATATAAATAATCATTGGATGAAGTGCAAGATGTGCTCTTTATAAATCATGTAAATAATCATTGACATGAAAACTGCACGATTAATTGAAATTGAAACTAAACTACACTACATTTGTTCATTAACACAAGATTAAAACGTGCAATTAACCAAAATATGATAAATCTTTGAAACTTCTATCTTTTTAATATGCTTTATGTTGATGCAATGCATCGATGCATCGACATATTTTTTTGAATATTTGTTTGAATATTGTGGACTGTGTGCCGAAATAGTTGGTGTAAGCTGGTGATGCGTACGGTGTGTTATCATATGGTGTGTTCGTTCTATTTGATGACCACATCGGCGGTGGTGGTGGTGTTGGAGTTTTCTCTCTCGTTAGGTCAATCAATTGTGGTTGTGGGTCGTTTGTTAGGTCTATTACTTCGGGCTGTGGCACGTTTTTTGTTAAATCAATTACTTCTTCGACGATTTTTTCTATTTTTTCAATATATCTATACAGCTTTCCGTTGTGGCATACGATAGTTATTTTTTTCTGCAACAGTCGGCTCATTTTAGCACTCACTGATAATCTGAATCTTAGAGTTTTTTTTTATCTGTTCACTGCACCAACAACTTTTTCTTATATTTTATTTTTCACTTGTTCAAGCGTTCGATACAGATTGTGACTCGATCTTTATGCTTTTGCTTTCAATAGCGCATTATAAATGTAAATGCTCCCGATCATCAAAATGAAGACTATGATATATATTGCTATGTAGTGATGCAAATGATGTAGAAACACTGCATCTTCCACCTCTTCTATTGTATTTTGTGTGTCAATTTTATTGTCACCTTCCGCAGGCCACTGTAGCTCACTGAATTCCAATCTTATTATTTTTTGTTATGATTTCTTTTTTCGCTTTGATCCAATTCATTTTTGTTGACACTTCACACTGCTCGTTAATTGTAAGCATACCGCTGCCATAAATTGTAACGTCCGATATTTCTTCGTTGCATTTTATTTTGATGTTTGTGTTCTGCTTTACACTATATAACCATTTGTTTATTTTTATTTCTCACCAAGTTTCGTTGTCTTTACTTGTCTTAAATTCACAGCTGTGTGATGTTGTATTTGTCAGCAATTCCCATTCACATGCTTGGACTGATTCTTTCTTCATCATTGGCTTGTTTAGCTCGCAATAGTTTTTGTTTTCATATTCGATGCATTTCTTCCGTGTCTCCTCATTTAAAAAATGTACAAACTCGTCGTTATACAATATATATTTGTTATTGATTGTTGGTGTTATGAGATTCTCCTGATAAACAAATTCAATCGGCTCCAATTCTGCGCATGAATATTCAACGATTTCTACCAATGGTACTTCGATGACCGTAATAAGCGTTCCTGATGTTGCAAATGTTTTCATTCGAGCAAAATTGTAAATATCCAAAGCTTTTTCTCCTATCGGGCGCATATTACTTGGCAATTTTTTCATAATTTTGTTTATTTGATATGACAATTGTTTTGGTGAAATCCAGTATGTGTTGACTTTACTGTTTTCTTCGTTCAATGCTTTCATCTAAGGGGATTTATCTCTCGCGAATGCTGCGAATGCATTCGCAATTCAGAACAAAAATTCGAATGTTTGCGAATGCGACGAATGCGGCTATGACAGCGAACTTGTGACTACATAATTCATTCGTTCATTTGTGTTTGGGCATGCATTCGCAACGCTGCCGTATGATTTCTATGTAAACATTCGTACTCGCATTCGTGAGAACGTTCGAGAACAGCGAAATACGACTGCCATACGAATGCGAGTGCGAATGTTTACATAGAAATCATATGGCAGCGTTGCGAATGCATAGCACTGAGCGCGAATTTGTGAATAAAAATTCGAATGCCAAACCGACATAGAAGCCCCTAGGCTTTCATAATACTGATTTGTTTGTCATGAAATTCAAATGTTGTCATTAGTACGTACGATGTCAAGTAATGCTCTATGTTTTCCGCTTCTAATGCAACCATGTTTTTGTTTACTATTTTCAATACCGAGATTTGTCGTTTCATCAATTCATTGTCTCTGCATCACCACTGCCGAAAATATTACCTACTATTCTCTCTCCAATAAATCCGATTGCCAATACGAATACCAAAATGCTGATCTCTTTTGTTTTTTGCTCATTTTGGTTTTTATGACCTCATTTAACATCAGAATCTCGTTCATTTTTCTTGTGATCGCTTCAACTATTGTATGACATGCACTATTATTATTTTTCAAACAATGATTTTCCAAATGATCGACGTTATG